CTGTTTCTGTCAATCCAGTGATAACACAGGATATGGTTGTATCAGAGCCCTTTTTCGTTTCTTTATTCGCTGATTCAACCTCTGAAGTAAATTTTGATAAATGAATACTCCTAATTTCGAAATCTATGACACTCGCATTTGGTTTATCTGGTTTGAATTGAATTTTAAATGTGGTGGAGAGATAGAAATTGGAAGTGAATCAAAAACTGTATTGCAAGATAACTGTTAGCGTTGAAAAACTTACCATAAACGTTAAGATTAACGGTGGTATCTGAGTGACTGGAATCGGGCAAAGATCCGGAAGTGACTCTGCAAGTGTAGGCAGTATCTTCATTCACAAGACTTCCGTCTACTTCAAGAGTTGATGTTTGTGTCCCTCCAGAATGGCTTCCTTGGACAGGGGTGAGCTTATCACCTGAAACTTGGCCTGTACTAGTTCGCCAGGTCACTGTTGCTGTTTCTGTCAATCCAGTGATAACACAGGATATGGTTGTATCAGAGCCCTTTTTCGTTTCTTTATTCGCTGATTCAACCTCTGAAGTAAATTTTGATAAATGAATACTCCTAATTTCGAAATCTATGACACTCGCATTTGGTTTATCTGGTTTGAATTGAATTTTAAATGTGGTGGAGAGATAGAAATTGGAAGTGAATCAAAAACTGTATTGCAAGATAACTGTTAGCGTTGAAAAACTTACCATAAACGTTAAGATTAACGGTGGTATCTGAGTGACTGGAATCGGGCAAAGATCCGGAAGTGACTCTGCAAGTGTAGGCAGTATCTTCATTCACAAGACTTCCGTCTACTTCAAGAGTTGATGTTTGTGTCCCTCCAGAATGGCTTCCTTGGACAGGGGTGAGCTTATCACCTGAAACTTGGCCTGTACTAGTTCGCCAGGTCACTGTTGCTGTTTCTGTCAATCCAGTGATAACACAGGATATGGTTGTATCAGAGCCCTTTTTCGTTTCTTTATTCGCTGATTCAACCTCTGAAGTAAATTTTGATAAATGAATACTCCTAATTTCGAAATCTATGACACTCGCATTTGGTTTATCTGGTTTGAATTGAATTTTAAATGTGGTGGAGAGATAGAAATTGGAAGTGAATCAAAAACTGTATTGCAAGATAACTGTTAGCGTTGAAAAACTTACCATAAACGTTAAGATTAACGGTGGTATCTGAGTGACTGGAATCGGGCAAAGATCCGGAAGTGACTCTGCAAGTGTAGGCAGTATCTTCATTCACAAGACTTCCGTCTACTTCAAGAGTTGATGTTTGTGTCCCTCCAGAATGGCTTCCTTGGACAGGGGTGAGCTTATCACCTGAAACTTGGCCTGTACTAGTTCGCCAGGTCACTGTTGCTGTTTCTGTCAATCCAGTGATAACACAGGATATGGTTGTATCAGAGCCCTTTTTCGTTTCTTTATTCGCTGATTCAACCTCTGAAGTAAATTTTGATAAATGAATACTCCTAATTTCGAAATCTATGACACTCGCATTTGGTTTATCTGGTTTGAATTGAATTTTAAATGTGGTGGAGAGATAGAAATTGGAAGTGAATCAAAAACTGTATTGCAAGATAACTGTTAGCGTTGAAAAACTTACCATAAACGTTAAGATTAACGGTGGTATCTGAGTGACTGGAATCGGGCAAAGATCCGGAAGTGACTCTGCAAGTGTAGGCAGTATCTTCATTCACAAGACTTCCGTCTACTTCAAGAGTTGATGTTTGTGTCCCTCCAGAATGGCTTCCTTGGACAGGGTGAGCTTATCACCTGAAACTTGGCCTGTACTAGTTCGCCAGGTCACTGTTGCTGTTTCTGTCAATCCAGTGATAACACAGGATATGGTTGTATCAGAGCCCTTTTTCGTTTCTTTATTCGCTGATTCAACCTCTGAAGTAAATTTTGATAAATGAATACTCCTAATTTCGAAATCTATGACACTCGCATTTGGTTTATCTGGTTTGAATTGAATTTTAAATGTGGTGGAGAGATAGAAATTGGAAGTGAATCAAAAACTGTATTGCAAGATAACTGTTAGCGTTGAAAAACTTACCATAAACGTTAAGATTAACGGTGGTATCTGAGTGACTGGAATCGGGCAAAGATCCGGAAGTGACTCTGCAAGTGTAGGCAGTATCTTCATTCACAAGACTTCCGTCTACTTCAAGAGTTGATGTTTGTGTCCCTCCAGAATGGCTTCCTTGGACAGGGGTGAGCTTATCACCTGAAACTTGGCCTGTACTAGTTCGCCAGGTCACTGTTGCTGTTTCTGTCAATCCAGTGATAACACAGGATATGGTTGTATCAGAGCCCTTTTTCGTTTCTTTATTCGCTGATTCAACCTCTGAAGTAAATTTTGATAAATGAATACTCCTAATTTCGAAATCTATGACACTCGCATTTGGTTTATCTGGTTTGAATTGAATTTTAAATGTGGTGGAGAGATAGAAATTGGAAGTGAATCAAAAACTGTATTGCAAGATAACTGTTAGCGTTGAAAAACTTACCATAAACGTTAAGATTAACGGTGGTATCTGAGTGACTGGAATCGGGCAAAGATCCGGAAGTGACTCTGCAAGTGTAGGCAGTATCTTCATTCACAAGACTTCCGTCTACTTCAAGAGTTGATGTTTGTGTCCCTCCAGAATGGCTTCCTTGGACAGGGGTGAGCTTATCACCTGAAACTTGGCCTGTACTAGTTCGCCAGGTCACTGTTGCTGTTTCTGTCAATCCAGTGATAACACAGGATATGGTTGTATCAGAGCCCTTTTTCGTTTCTTTATTCGCTGATTCAACCTCTGAAGTAAATTTTGATAAATGAATACTCCTAATTTCGAAATCTATGACACTCGCATTTGGTTTATCTGGTTTGAATTGAATTTTAAATGTGGTGGAGAGATAGAAATTGGAAGTGAATCAAAAACTGTATTGCAAGATAACTGTTAGCGTTGAAAAACTTACCATAAACGTTAAGATTAACGGTGGTATCTGAGTGACTGGAATCGGGCAAAGATCCGGAAGTGACTCTGCAAGTGTAGGCAGTATCTTCATTCACAAGACTTCCGTCTACTTCAAGAGTTGATGTTTGTGTCCCTCCAGAATGGCTTCCTTGGACAGGGGTGAGCTTATCACCTGAAACTTGGCCTGTACTAGTTCGCCAGGTCACTGTTGCTGTTTCTGTCAATCCAGTGATAACACAGGATATGGTTGTATCAGAGCCCTTTTTCGTTTCTTTATTCGCTGATTCAACCTCTGAAGTAAATTTTGATAAATGAATACTCCTAATTTCGAAATCTATGACACTCGCATTTGGTTTATCTGGTTTGAATTGAATTTTAAATGTGGTGGAGAGATAGAAATTGGAAGTGAATCAAAAACTGTATTGCAAGATAACTGTTAGCGTTGAAAAACTTACCATAAACGTTAAGATTAACGGTGGTATCTGAGTGACTGGAATCGGGCAAAGATCCGGAAGTGACTCTGCAAGTGTAGGCAGTATCTTCATTCACAAGAGTTCCGTCTACAGCAAGAGTTGATGTTTGTGTCCCTCCAGAATGGCTTCCTTGGACAGGGACGAGCTTATCACCTGAAACTTGGCCTGTACTAGTTCGCCAGGTCACTGTTGCTGTTTCTGTCAATCCAGTGATAACACAGGATATGGTTGTATCAGAGCCCTTTTTCGTTTCTTTATTCGCTGATTCAACCTCTGAAGTAAATTTTGATAAATGAATACTCCTAATTTCGAAATCTATGACACTCGCATTTGGTTTATCTGGTTTGAATTGAATTTTAAATGTGGTGGAGAGATAGAAATTGGAAGTGAATCAAAAACTGTATTGCAAGATAACTGTTAGCGTTGAAAAACTTACCATAAACGTTAAGATTAACGGTGGTATCTGAGTGACTGGAATCGGGCAAAGATCCGGAAGTGACTCTGCAAGTGTAGGCAGTATCTTCATTCACAAGACTTCCGTCTACTTCAAGAGTTGATGTTTGTGTCCCTCCAGAATGGCTTCCTTGGACAGGGGTGAGCTTATCACCTGAAACTTGGCCTGTACTAGTTCGCCAGGTCACTGTTGCTGTTTCTGTTAATCCAGTGATAACACAGGATATGGTTGTATCAGAGCCCTTTTTCGTTTCTTTATTCGCTGATTCAACCTCTGAAGTAAATTTTGATAAATGAATACTCCTAATTTCGAAATCTATGACACTCGCATTTGGTTTATCTGGTTTGAATTGAATTTTAAATGTGGTGGAGAGATAGAAATTGGAAGTGAATCAAAAACTGTATTGCAAGATAACTGTTAGCGTTGAAAAACTTACCATAAACGTTAAGATTGACGGTGGTATCTGAGTGGCTGGAATCGGGCAAAGATCCGGAAGTGACTCTGCAAGTGTAGGCAGTATCTTCATTCACAAGACTTCCGTCTACTTCAAGAGTTGATGTTTGTGTCCCTCCAGAATGGCTTCCTTGGACAGGGACGAGCGTATCACCTGAAACTTGGCCTGTACTAGTTCGCCAGGTCACTGTTGCTGTTTCTGTCAATCCAGTGATAACACAGGATATGGTTGTATCAGAGCCCTTTTTCGTTTCTTTATTCGCTGATTCAACCTCTGAAGTAAATTTTGATAAATGAATACTCCTAATTTCGAAATCTATGACACTTGCATTTGGTTTATCTGGTTTGAATTGAATTTTAAATGTGGTGGAGAGATAGAAATTGGAAGTGAATCAAAAACTGTATTGCAAGTCCGGCCTTCGACTTTTAGATTTCTGTGCATTAAATCAGCTGACAATCGGTGGGACGCTTTTCCAGCATCGTGATATTCATAAAGGAAGTTGGAAGTCTCCAGATGGCCGCACAGTAAATCAGATTGACCATGTCTGTATTTCTACCAAGTGGAGTCACTCTCTACTTGACGTAAGATCATGCAGGGGTGCAGACATTGGCTCCGATCATTATTTGGTTCGGGGTCAATTTAGAGTCAAACTTATGGCAGTTCAAAAAATGAACGCTTCTCGTAGGATATCTCCAGCAATTGAGAATCTTAGAGATCAGTCCAAGGTTGAAGAGTACTGCATTGCTCTTCAAAATCGTTTTAGCTGCCTACCAATGGAGGAGAATCTTGATGGAGAATGGACATTAGTTAAGGATACTATTAAAGAAGTGTCTATGGAGGTATTGGGTGAGCGCCCCCGGCGCAGAAAGCAGCAGCATTTGTCTCAGGAGACAAAAAGCCTTATTGCAGAACGCAGTAAGATTAAACAGATGGCGCCTAGTGACAACAACAATAGGAGCGAGTATTCTCGGGCCAATAAACTTGTCAAAAAGAGCTGCAGGAAAGACGACGAGAATTGGGCTCTTAGAGTTGCAGCAGATCTGGAAACAGCTGCTGTCCATGGCCGGCAAAGGGAAGTCTGGCAACGGATAAAAACACTGTCCGGTAAGAAGAATCGTGTTATATATATTGAACATTGATTGCTATCATAATTTGTTATTAACGATTTGTTCTTCCCTAGCCTCTATGATTACGTGTTAACAGATTGTTTTATTTCTACGCACACGCTACAACAAATGGCGACGAGGACAAAAGAGCCACTAACCGTCACATGCTGTCAAAAAAGCTGGTTTGAAAGATACGAGTTTGAGTTATTGGCGGGAGGACTGGCAGCAGAGGTCCCAGAGTTAGCTAATGACGGTTCTAACCGTGAGGCTAGAAACATGGCTATAAAGAAGAATTTAGCAGGCTTTATTGCAAGGACAGATGAGAACATTTACAAGCTGTTGAAGTCACTGACCGTAAAAAAGATGGAAGACTGCAGTTACGAGGAGTGTAAGAAACTCATTTTAGATCACTTGGCCCCGGCACCAACAAAGTTTGCCCAAAGATACAAACTGAGAAGCTGTGTGCAGGAGGGCGAAGAATCCACAGCAACCTATGTTTCAAGACTAAGAACAATCGCAAATGAATGTGATTTTGCCAACTACAACGAGGCTATACTGGATCAGCTGCTCGCTGGACTGAGGAATCAAAAGGTTGTTTCCGAGTTGTTAACTAAGGATGACTTAACACTGGCAACCGCGGTGAAGGAAGCTTTAAGTCGTGAGCAAGCAAACAGGGAGGCTCAATTCATGAATAGTACGCTATCACCGGGAGAGTCATCGAGATCAGTGAACTTTGTGAAACCAACATTCAAAAGAACAATGAAAAACCTCTATGGGAAGAAGGGGGAAAGTTCAGGTGGTTCGGGTGGAAAGCAGAAAAGTGGAATGCAAAAGGGACTTAAATGTAGACGGTGCGGACTTCGTGGACATATTGGTGAAAATTGTCAAGTCCGGTGTCATATCTGCAAACGTATTGGACACATCTCCAAGAATTGCAAGCAAAACAGCATTGTTCACAACATTGAACAAGGAGAGTCGAGTTCGGAGAGTTATGAGTTCGGTATGGATGAGAATTGTGAAAATGTCTTGGACAATGAGCTTTACCCCGAGTATGATCATGACAATGAGTGTAATTCAGTTGAGATTGAAAAAGGTAATGCTAATACATGTTCTTATCTGTGTGCTGATTTCTCTAAACTTACTCATTTAACTGATTCGAAATCTTCAAATATGTATGTGAGGGATAAGGTGTTTAATGCCTTTGATTTTAGTTATCTTGTTTGTGATCCCGATTCCACTATTACCACTGATAAATCTGACTTAAGTTTAGTTTCTGATAATGTGTTTCCGAATGTCAATATGATTGAGTTAAGCAAACCGTATGTAGAAGTAGAAATCAACGGTAAACTTCTGTCTATGGAGTTCGATTCAGGGTCTGCAGTGTCTGTTGTGAGCAAACGTACATTATTATCTTGTGGCTTGGCCAATTTAACACTTACACCCAGCAGGCAAACATTACGGGTTGCAAACGGACAAATCAAAACAGTTGACGGCTGTGCCGTAGTTAATGTAGAGTTGAACGGTGAAAAAGCTCATGGAATGCAGCTCTATGTAGCAGAGGACTTCCCCAATTTGTTTGGAAGACCGTGGATTGTAAAGTTCTGTGGACAGAATTGGCTAGAGAAGCTGCTCAGCACAAAGTTAGTACATAATTTAGCCCCAGACAAATCCCAGCAGGTGTCAGTGAGCTGTGAAAGCTGCTCTGGGAGTGGTGTCGATAAGGGTGACATGCTAACCGATGGTGCGACCGTGAAAAACAGGTGGAAATGTGAAAACACCTGTACTCGGGTTGATCAATGTCGTAGTATCGCTCAGTTAAAACAGAGCGAGGTGTTTAAATCGGGTTTAGGACTAGTTAAGGGTGTACAGGCAAGTTTGGTCCTGAAGGACAACTCCAAACCTATTATGATGAAAGCCCGTAGTCTACCCTATGCCTTGAGAAACAAGGTTGAAAGTGAGTTAAATGATATGGTTGAAGCGAAGATTCTAACCAAAGTCGAAGACAGTCCATGGGGGACACCCATAGTGCCTGTGAAGAAGGATGGAGGGCAGTCAGTGCGCATTTGTGGGGATTATAAATCGACCCTGAACAAATGTATCAGCACCCGACAATACCCTCTACCTACCGTGGAGGAATGTCTGAATGCTGTGCAGGGGAGACAAACGTTCTCTAAGATTGACATCAAAAAGGCTTATAATAACCTGTTGATAAGAAATGAGGACCGTGTCTTGACCACCCTGAATACGCACAAAGGGTTGTATCAATGGAATCGCTTGCCGTATGGCATCAGCAGTGCATCGGCTATATTCCAGTCATGTATGGATGACACTCTGTGGGGTGTGCCTATGACGTGCTGCAGAATTGACGATATATTAGTTTCTGGTCGAAATGAGAGTGACCATCTGATCAACCTCAATAATGTCATAAGTAGGTTGGAGCAGCGAGGTTTTAAATGTAAAACCGAAAAAACTTCTTTCATGCAAAAAGAAGTTGTCTATCTGGGTCATGTGGTGTCTGCTGAAGGGATCAAACCCGTGAAAAGCAAGGTCGAGAGTATGCTGATGGCTCCAGAACCTAGGAATGTGGACGAACTAATTAGTTTTTTGGGGGCTGTGAATTATTACAGGCGCTATTTGCCCAACTTGTCGTCTGTGATTGCTCCAATTGAAAGGCTGAGAGCTAAGAATGTAAAGTGGGTGTGGACAAATACCGAAAAGACAGCGTTTAAAATATTGAAAAATCTGCTGGCTTCTAACCGTGTATTGACCTTTTACAATCCCAAGCTTCCTCTTAAACTGGACACTGATGCTTCAATCGGTGGCATTGGCGCAGTGTTGTCTCACATTATGCTGAATGGGGATGAGCGCCCCATTGAGTTCATCTCCCGGACCCTGTCACCGGCCGAGAGGAATTACGCTCAAGTGGACAAAGAGGCCCTGGCCATAGTGTGGGCCATAAAGCGCCTACATATTTACTTGTATATGAGACAGTTTACCTTGGTGACAGATCATCGTGCGCTGGTTCGTATATTTGGCGATAAGCCAATTCCAGAGATGACTGCCGGTAGGTTAACTAGGTGGGCTTTATTCCTTATGAATTACCAGTATGACATTCAATATCGTAATACCAAGGATCATGCTAACGCTGATATGTTATCCAGGCTGCCAAAATCGGTAACACACCCTGTGAGGGAGAGAGACGAGTTTGGTGATATGTTCGCACTGACTATGAGCGAGACTTTACTCAATGCTGAGTTAGTGGCGAACGACACTCGTAAGGACCCGATTCTGAGCAGAGTTTTGGAATACACTCTGAATGGTTGGTCGAAGAATCTGAAATGTGACGGTGATCTCAAAGCTTTCTGGACTAGAAGAGACGAGTTGAGCCATGAACTTGGATGTTTAACTTGGGGAGCCCGTGTCGTGATTCCCGCTAAACTGAGAAGCACTGTAATGGATATTCTGCACGCCACTCACATTGGAGTAACAGGTATGAAATCCTTGGCCAGATCTTACGTTTACTGGCCACGTCTTGACACACAAATCGAGGATACTGCTCGGACGTGTGAGACATGCGCCAAGTATGGTAAGAACATGACTAAAGTCGTTGACCACCCCTGGGCTAAAACCAGTGCACCTTTCCAAAGAGTACACGCTGACTTTGCGGGCCCATTCCTGGGCAGCATGTGGCTATTATTAGTAGACTCTTACAGCAAGTGGCCTGAAGTTGTTCAAATGAACACAAATACAACATCTAGTGCTACAATACGTGCTTTTAGATCCATATTCTCTCGTACAGGTATTCCAATCTGTCTGGTAACGGATAACGGACCACAGTTCGTGTCGGATGAAACTGAGGGATATCTGAAATCCTGTGGTATAAAGCACGTGACTGTTCCGACGTATTCTCCCAAATCAAACGGAATCTGCGAACGACTTGTTCAGTCGTTTAAATCCGCCCTGAAAAAGATGTCTGTAACCAGTAAGGACGTGTGCAAGAATCTGAATGATTTTCTGCTAACTTACCGCAACACACCCCATTCGTCTACTGGTCAAACACCAGCTGTGTTAGCGTTCAACAGAACTCTGCGATCTAAACTACACCAAATCAAACCAACCGATCGGATGAGGGAGCAGGAATTGCAATCTGAGAAACTGCAAGTTGCAATTAACGAACACCCCAGAACTCGAGAGTTCCGGGAAAATCAGCTCATTTTCGCCAAAATGGACGACAAAAGCCACTGGGAACAAGCTAGAGTAATCAAAAGACTCGGTGATAATTCGAACAATTACGTGGTCCAACACGGAGACAGGATTGTAAAGAAAAACGCTGACGCAATAAAACCACGACACACCCCCGTTATAAGGATGGAACGAAAAGCAATCACTAGTCCGCAAAAACGCTGTTAACCAGAGAGATAGCTCGCTCTGACATTAAGTTCCAGAAGCTGCATGAAACAAGGGAAAGACGGAGAATGAATGCACTAAACCTAGGAGTTCCGAACGGCAACAGACTTGAGGCTGTGGCGAAACCAGCGTCCCCAGTCAAGGATACCTCACCGGCTAAAGTGACTGAGCGTCCTCAACCGAAAGTTGCTTCCCCCCTGAAAACCAACGACAAGCAAGTCCGGGTGTCTGAGTTGTCCAAACCTACAGCTACAGGTGGTGCACCCTTACCTGAACCGCGTTTGAGACCAACCAGAAGTGCTAAGAGTGATGCTATCACTAAAATGAAAACCATGAGTTAGAATGAGTAATCACGAACTGAAATCATTGTAAACCCGTATGTTGTAATATTTGTCAAACCGCTGTTTTTATCACATTTTTAGAGTCACTCATTATTTTAAATTTTACAGATTTCCTGATTTAACTTATGTATTTTAATAATTCGACAGAGAACGTGGCTAATCCAATTTTATGGAAATATGAGTTACAAGTTTTTAACGTTTAAGAAGTAAAATGTTGCTAATTTTGTCCCGACCTGTGGGGAGAAAGTATTTTTTATGTCTGTTTTCTGACAGTTTAAGTTAAAGACCAGTTTGGTCACAAAAGTTGTTCCACATGTACAATGGCATGACGGGCTAGGAAGTACAGCCGATCTCCTGGTATGCGGGTGCGCTGGGGTTCCTGAAGTTCGCCTCCTGAGTTAGGCTCCTCTCGCCCAGTGCTTGCACTGGGCAACAACACCTTAAACACGATGTAAGTTTCTCTTTTACTTCTTTCTCATTGTTAGCTTATTTTGAATGTGAATTTTTACATCTCTGATATTGCCCCTCTTATCCTTACTCTAGCTATATTTTCACTGGCAAATTTAACTTTACTCCCGACCAGCAGTTTCATTACACATTTTCTCGTGCCATTTTCCTTCCAGGTCGTGTTTAGTGTTGTGGGAGGTTGCCTACTCTGAGGTGTTACGGATGGTTCCCTGGCAAACTTTGCTGCCAGACTCGACAATCTCTGACAACAATGATAAACCTTCAAGAGATTTTCGACTATGTCAAAGCTGCCTCAGTTGAGGATCTACGTCATATCCTTAACTCTGTTCAAAACGAGCTGCCAAAGCGTGAGGGAAAGGTGGACAATTTTGTGTTACATATAGAGGACTTCTGCGAGGATGAGGTTCTCCGTGATGCGGTATGGGTTGAATGTGAGTCCCTGCAGAAACTGAACACCGAGGGAAGACACAAGGCAACAACAGCTTGGTTGTGCTCACAGGATGCACCCTATATTTACACTGACACAAATCCAGTGCACCCACCACAGGATATCAGTGGTTTCCCTAATATCAAAAGACTCCTGAGTCTTGTAAACTCGAGTACGGAGATAACTGGACCTCTGGACTCATGTCTGGTCATCAAGTATGGAAACAACCAAGCGAGTACTTCAATACACAATGACGGTGAGAAACTAATGGACCAGGAGAAATCGATTTGCTCTTTCTCACTGGGATGTGAACGGACGCTTGAGTTTTACGAGGGCACAACTGGGAAACCTAATTGTGTCAAGACGATAAGGATGAAGAACAACAGTCTTGTTGTAATGCGGCCTGGGACACAGCAGAATCTGAGGCATGCTGTGCGAGCAGAGCCGGCCACAAAGGGAGAGCCTCCAAAGAAATCGGAGCAAGTAAGATACTCCCTGTCATTTCGAGCTATTGTGAAATCTGGTGGCCAAGTTAGCTCTCAGAATATCAGCACAGAGACTAGTACACCAGCTTCTGGCACCGAAGCCCAAGTACCTGCGCAAAGAGTCACGTTGGTTGCTGGAGACTCTTATGCTCAAAGATTGGACTCCGCAAAGCTGGGAAAAGGGAAAGTCACAGTCGTAAATGTTGCAGAAGGCGGAGCAAAAATGGACAAAGTCCAGAAACAGTTGGAGGACTACTGCACGGCACATCCTGATGTCCACGTTGAGAAGCTTCTGATCAGCGTAGGCACAAACGATATTAGGCGTGTGGGGGATAAAATTGGTATTTTGAGGGGACCAGTAAAGCAACTTTTTGGTAAGATAGGCCTATTATTTCCCAACTGTAAGGTATATGTTCAATCTCTATTGCCATTACCTTTACAGAATGATAACGATAAATTAACTAACAAGAGGGTAATGGATTTTAATAGGATTTTATACAATGAGTGTGTATTTAGGAGGTTCTTTTTCATGGATGTGTTTTATCCCTTTACAAAGTTTAAGAGAGCTCTAAGTGAGCCTGTTAAGAGATTTGATCCCTTATTTGAGAACAAAGGCATTCACCCCAATCCTCAGAAAGGTATGGGTGTGTTGGCCAGATTTTATATTCGTGCCATCCACAGTAGATATTTTAATCCTTATATCTATCAGTAGTTCTTTTGTGCTGTCTTCTGAACCTTGTTAAGCTAATGATATGCAGTTGTAGTCTGGCAAGTATACTCACCTGTAAAACACCATGATCGATTTAGTAACATACAGATTTAGAGTTGGAGTGTTTAGTGGAAATTCTTTTGCAAAATCCATCAAACATCAGAACCGTAGACGTGGTACAGGTAGTATTTTTGATTATTTAGACAGCTGCATTGATTCTCGCTTATTATTTTATATTTTTTATGTTATATTCATATGTCACTTTTCGCTAATCACTATCACATATGTCGGGGTAAGTGGGTTGGCTTTTTCTAGGGTCACTTATGATTGCCGAGCCTTTGTACCAACATACCCAGTTCCTAACTTGTGCCGATGCTTTACAGTTTATTTCTTTTTATATTTAGCAAATATGTATTATCTGAGGAATAATTACAGTTTCGATGGTTTATATAGATTTTGCCAGATTTCAATCCATAAGAACATAAATTGCATATTTACTGGTAGAACCGGCAATACACTCACGGGATGCATAATTTGGTTGTTTTTGATGAATGGTTTTTTGATAGTTTTAGTAAACCCTGGAATTGTAAACCCAGGGCCGTCTCCCATAGGTGTTAGAGTTGGGAATGGTAATAAATTGAATGTTTACTTTCAGAATGTTCAAGGTCTCATCCCTTTTGGTGAACTGAACAATGCCCATCCAATGATTGATACCACTAAATGTCTTGAAGTGTCGACTTATCTTAATGAGGCTAAGATAGATATTGCAATACTTAACGAAACCTGGTTTAAGAGTTCTATTGCTGATAGTGAATTTCTGCACCCTGACAGATATAAGATATTTCGCTCTGATAGATCGAAGAAAACTCATCCACCAGATCCTTCTAATCCAACCCGGTTTAGGAGGAATGGTGGAGGGGTCATGATTGCAGTGAGAGCAGACCTTGATCTAACTTCAAAGGAAGTTCATCTCAAGTATGGTGCAGAAATTCTTGCTGTGGAATTTAAGACATCCACTGGAATTAAGTTTGTTGTATGCACATGTTATCGTGTTGGTACACTGGGCTCCGCAAATCATGAAAAAATTGTTGAGTCTTTGAAAACTCTTCTCAGAAGAAGAGGACTGAGTAAAGTCTTCATACTAGGAGATTTTAACCTGACCGGAGTTTCCTGGTCTACCCTGGCCAGCTCCTGTCCTATTGAGCAATCTTTTGTTGAATCTTTTGTTGATCTAGGCCTTCAACAATGTGTGTTAACACCTACCCACTGCAAAGGCAAAACACTTGACCTATTGCTCACAAACTCTGTGTCAAATATTAATGACCTAATGGTAGGTGAGAGAGATAGTGCTTGCAAGTCTGACCACTTCCCCATCAATTTTAAGATCAACGTTAAAGTTGGTAGGAAGAAGCCAGTCAGGCGTATGTGCTATAACTTTAAGACTGTGAACTGGGAGAGGCTAAACCATGAACTCCGACACACGAATTGGGATGCATTGCTCAATGGCACAGAACCTGAAATTGGATGGAAAAAATTTAAGGACAAACTTTTTAATGTCACAGATAAATTTGTTAAAAAATGCTCTGTCAAGACTGATGGCCAAGATCCATGGTTTGACTCGGAGTGTTATGATGCATGGCGTAAGAAAGTGAGATTACATAAAGAAAGGCATAAAAGTGATAGAGCTGAAATTGCATTCTCCCTTGCTAGGAAAAATTTCAAAAATGTGGTTGCTCAAAAGATGAGGGAAACATTAAATGAATCTGATGATAGTGCTTTAATAACAAAAAAATTTTGGTCCTATGTCAAATCGAAGACAGCTAGTCAGCGGATCCCTGAGTTTGTAAGCCACAAAGGCACTGTCCGCAACTGCCCTGAAGACCAGGCCAACCTATTTAATGACTTTTTCTTCGAGCAGTTCTCTGAGGCATCAACTTATGACATAGATATAGATTACTCTAATGATTGGCGCTTTGATATTGAATTTGACCACAGAAGGGTTCGCAAAATCCTTTCCAATATTAATGCTAATAAAGCTTATGGACCTGATGGTATCCATGGGAAACTTTTGAAAAACTGTGCGGTTGGGCTCGCATACCCTATATCAATACTTTTTCATTCATGCTACAACATTGGGACACTACCAAGGGAGTGGAAACTGGGGCACATTGTACCAATATTCAAGAAAGGGGATAAACATGAGGTTTCAAATTATAGGCCAATTTCTCTTACATGCTTAATCACAAAAGTTCTTGAACGCATAATAAGAGATGAGTTATTGGCACTTACTAATGGCATGATCAATGACAAACAGCATGGTTTCCGAGCTGAGAGATCTTGTGCAACTAATCTTGTAGGACTGTGCGACAGCCTAGCGCTCTCACTGAATGAAAATATGAGAACAGATGTAGTCTACTTTGATTTTGCCAAAGCATTTGACTCGGTTAACCATGATCTTATATTATTTAAGCTAAAGAGCAAATTTGGTATTGATGGGAGGCTACTGAAATTCATCACTGATTATCTAAGAGACAGGCAACAACAGGTCTTGATAAGTGGCAAGTTTTCTTCTA